TGACTTTCTACTCTTACCCAGGAGACATTGACTTCTGAGTGCTACAGTTTATCAGTCCTGCTTCCTCGTTTAACAAGAATAAGACACAACCAGGGAGGCATTGTGCAGTGATGTATGGAATCAGTAGAGGAACCAGGACTGGCCCCACAGCCTGGGCAGGGGTTTAGTCATAGGCACCACTGAGAAAGGGGAGTGGGTGTTCACTTCACAAGGGCAACTAAGATGCTGTCACACCTCCAGCCTTCATTTGTTCATAACAGGAATTATTGCTGAAGGGGTGAAATGGTTGCCTTCAGCATGTTACTTTTATATTCTTGTATGCAAATGCCAAGCAGTGTCTCGTTAGTGACGAGTATTAGGTGACTATTTATTTCCCTCTGCTGCTATTTTAGGTTCTTCAGAACTTTGTACACACCCTTTGGTCATAGTGTAACTAAAAATAAAGACCGTGACCTGGTAAATCTTTGATTTTATGTTTGCTTAGGGCATTCTAAGTAATTTTATCATTAGTTGAAATGATGATATCAGAAAACAAAACTGTCTCCACTGAGATTAGATATAAATCAAGTAGGGTATTACTAAATTTATATCTTCAGTATAGCTAGAATTCTGAATTACGGAATCACTATACTATACTCCTTATCATTAAAAAAAGGTGTATTAGTCAGCTTTCTGTTGCTAGAACAAAATATGTGAGATAATGAACTTATAAGGAATAAAGTTATTTGTGCTTGTGTTTCATATTTTCAGCCCAGGTTGGACCCATCACTTTGGGCCTGCAGCAATGCAGCATATTTTGGCATGGAGTTCATGGTCAAAGAAATGCTGTTAGATTTGCCAAGTAATACTATCAGGAATCCATACCTTGTGACAGGTAGAGAGTGAAGAGACAAAAGGAAGAGGAGGAGGAGCAGGGAGGAGGAGGAGGAGGCAGGGAAGGAGAAGGAGACAGCAAGGAGGAGGCAGAGAGAAAGGGAAAGAGAGGGAGTACAAGAGCAAGCCAGGTAGTGATGTCCCCTTCAGAGGTCTGTCCTTAATTACCTAGCTGTCTCCCCTTAGGCCTCAGGTCCTCCCTCCTAAGAACCACCTCCCAGTAGTGTCATAGGAAATAACCAAGCCTTTGACAGCAGGTTTTTAAGGGACATTTAAAATCTCAGCCACCACATTGTTCATTTCAGTGACAGCTGTACCTGAATTCTGGAAGACTATTTTGACTGATGACTTGGGGAAGTCACAAACCTTGCCAAGTACAGCGTTACATGAGGGGCTTTCTGGAGCTGCTACACGCTCTAGTCAAAGAAGACCACTGTTTGCCAGTTGGTGCTGTAGAAATTTTCCTTTAAGCAGATAGGTAGAGGAGTGCTTTCCAGGCCCCCCGCCCCTTACGGAGGAGGGAGGAAGAAGCAATTTGTTTTGAAGGTGTCCATGACCCAGTAATGGCTCTATATATTTACAGAGCATTAATTGGACTTAGGGTGAAGTGGAGGGGAATTACATTGGAAGAAATATAGAGATGAAATAAGAGATAGATATGAACGTATTTTATTATATACCTGTATGAAATTCTTCTTAAGAGTATATATTTCTAAAGACACAAATCATATCAGTAGTTGTCAAGTTTCTAGCTGAGATCCTAGGAACTGGGAATGAATGCCTGAGTGATTCTGGAAACTCCAAAATATGCTGAAGAAGTGTGCATCTATAGCCCCATGAGTCTGTTACACTGGTAGGCAAAGATAAAAATGATAGGTGCAAAATTAAATCCTTTTTGCAGCCAGAACTCACTGTTCAGTATGACATTGTGTGTGTGTGTGTGTGTGTGTGTGTGTGTGTGTGTGTGTCTGTGCTTTGTGTGTGTGTAGGAATAGGATACCTGAGGTAGTTCAAAACAATGATGGTATTGATAATGAGATTGGTTTCTAAGAATAAAGCGTTGCTCATTTAAAAGCATTGGAAAGTGACTATGCCCCTGGAGTTATTATTACCCTTCATCTATATGTTTGTATTTGATAGCCAAAATGGTACACTTTGGAGAACTTAGGAACTTGGGAAATAAGTATATGAGCATTCTCTCTCTCTCTCTCTCTCTCTCTCTCTCTCTCTCTCTCTCTCTCTCTCTCTCTCTCTCTCTCTCTCTCTCTCTCTCTCGTGTGTGTGTGTGTGTGTTTCTTTCTCTTCCTTGTTCCTCTTCCCCTCAACATATAACATAAACAAAGTCATTTTATAGGAACATATTGGTTCCTAGGCTTTGGTTTGAATTCTGTCAAAAGGTTAGATATCAGTTTGAATTTGGAGAAGGTGGTTGGTCAGAGTTACAGAGTTACACATTGGCAGCTCTATAGAGAAGTGGTAATGTATCATGGCACCATTGCCAGGGTCTTCAACGGACTGAAGAGTTTGGTCCTGTGAATGCATCTGACCTTTTGTGGAATTAAGTGCATTAGGTTATGTGAGCCCAATGCTGTTGGGTTCCTGTTTCATGCGGTCACCAGTGGGTGAACTACTTTGGTTCTTCTGAGACACATGACGACTCACTTGACTTTCCAGATAAGCCAACTTAGGAGAATCAGCTCAGCTGGGAGGTTTCCGTTAGTCTAGAAACAGTACCATAGGAAGCATGGTTCAGTGATTCTACACAGTTAAAATATACCAGCATTCTTTACCACCTGCCTGGAGTCTTAAGAATTTGTGAACTTTGTTGCCTTTCTAAGAGGCAAGTGACTCTATGGGATATGTTGTTGGATCAACTTTCTTCTGCTGGGACATTAATTCCTCTAGTTCCTACGACATTGTCTCCCATCCAAAACTGATTAACAATTTTGGATTTATGTGTCTTAAACGTTTGGGGAGCTTGCATCCTCTTGAGAAAGAGGTCTGTTCTCAGCATATTGCTGCTCTGGCTTTGCTCAACTGGGAACTCATCAGACAACTAAGGGCTTCTGTGGATCAAGTGGAATATTTAGGAAACTTTCCATGTAGCCAGGGGAGCAGAGGAGCTCACACTTGCTCTGCCAGGAAGGAGTTACCACTCTGAGACACTGTGACAGCCTCCCCTTCTCAGGGACCCAGCATCTGAATTCGCCCCTACTCACTCTTCAAGCACCATCGATTATTTGTATCATGTATTTAGTGAATATCAAGTATTTTATAAGTACCTTGTATACAGACTCTGTCATATTATACCAATTTTTCCTGGAGATGGACACACAACATTTCTGGTTTGTAAATTAGGATACTAATGAGAATAACCGCCTAATATGTTTATTGTTTGCCTTGACATTTACCAGCTATAGGTTCAAAGAGATTTTGGTTTCCAAGTTCCATCCAGAGCTTCTCGGTACTAACCCGGAGAAGAGAGGTCACAGAGGAGTTCTCAGGACAGTAAATCAATGCTTTAGGGTCAATTTCCATTGACTGCATGAGTGCTGTGTGCTCTCTGTGCAATTTTATAGTAGGAAAAACTGCCAAGAATGCTAGAGAGTGTGATAACGATGCATTTCCCTCTCCTAGCCAGTTTCGCCAGCGTGACTTCATAACAAAGGTGGCTTGAGAGGGCCTGGCTGACCAGGACAACTAAGTGAGAACCCATCCTAAAACAATGGCTTCACAAACTTCTTCCTGTTTCCGGTAAAGATGGCCGAGCTCTCAGGAATCTGTAGGAGTCTGGACAGGTAGATTAAGAACTGCTAGTAAGTTTAAGGCTTAGTGAAAATATCAAGCAAGCCCCCTGGGTTACCAAACCACTCCTAAGGGACATCCATTCTCTTCTTAAAACAGAGATGGAACTGTGTGGCAAAAGGAATGCCCTCTGAATTTTGACCTCTCTAGGGTGGAGACAGAGGAAATTTCCCTCTTGGATTGCTCTTACTACCACTATACACTAAGAGCTGAGCAGGAATACCTGACCCCCACCCCCTCTTTATGAGGTCTTCATGACTGATGATCCTGGGGTCCAGGAGATGAGGCAGGAGGATCAGAAGCTGAAGGTCATCCTCTGAGAAACACCAGGTTCAAGGCCAGATGACATGAGGCCCTGTCTTAAAACAACACAAACATCTGTTTAAAAACTAGCTTGTGGGGTGTACATTGAACAGCTATCAAATTGCATGAAGGGAATATGTTTTCACCCTAACCCAGTCTAAGGATGAGGTCAAATTCATGACCCACTGGCCTCGATTTGGTTCAAATAAGAGGAGTTCCTTGTCTTTTAGAGAGTTCTTTGTCTAATCTTCCTTGAGCCTGTGCTAATCCATTAGGATTTTTTTAATTACTCAGATTCTCATGTAAGAACAAAAAGAAAAAAGAGATTCCAATCCCTTTGACCCAGGAAGGTAGTGTAGGAATTCTTAAATACAAATTAACATGAAAGGTCAGCATATGCTATCCTGCTCACCCTAGTAACATTTGAGACCTTATTCCAAACCTCTCAGGAGGACTGATCCATTACTCCTTGGATAAAATTACCAAAGGGCTAGGCTCTCAAAAATGCAATACTCTAAAGTCCCATCTAAAGATATTACTCAGGTGACATGGGGTGTCTTCCTCAGTCAGTCTTTACCTTATTAGATATGGAGGCAGGGTCTCCCATTTGATCTCAAAGCTTGACAATTCAGCCTGTCTAGCTTGTTAGCTGACTCTTGGAATCGCCTATCTCTACCTCCCTCATGCTGGGATTATGGGTGCATTACCATGCGTGCTCTGCATTTATTTAATTTCTGGAGATATAAACTCAGGTCTTCACCCTTGCACAGCAAGTGCTTTACCAAATGATCCACGCCCCAATCCCTATGTGAAATTAGGATAATTCAAAAGTAGAGGGTGAAGTTTGTCTTGCATCTAAAATATGATGTAGTAACATGCCGTGACTGTGGGCAAAACTGGCCTCTTTAGAGCTGAAAAATGGGAATGATTGAACCTAGAAGGGAGCCGTGACCTTCAGGACAATGCGGATAAATTGTAACTCTGATCCTGGAAAGCTTAGTGGCTCCCTGCCAAGCAGAGACTAGACTTCAGACTGCTTTCTCAGACTTGAGCTGGCCTAAGTGCTTCCTCAGCATGACAGCCAGTCCACCCCTTCCCTGCCTGCACTTCCGGCCCCAGTAGGGGCTGCTTCCCTGATCCACTTCTTAGCATCTCCCTGAGTCTCCTACCGTATCTGTGCTCCACAGGCAAGCTTGTCTGTGTCATTTGTCTGTCACCACGTCTTGGTTATCAGTATCTTTATCAGTGGGTGGAGAAGTTTTCTTTTGCCCTCCACATGGGGCAGTGGAGACAACCACTTCTTTGTCCTTTGGGGTATATTTATTGGGCAAACATTTGTTGAGTAGCTGTTGTTTGTTGACCTGTGTGGAGAAGATGAGTGACACACCAAATACCCCAGACAGCTCCTCTTCTGGTAGGGGGAGACTGACTCATAACCAGAGAGCCAGAAAACGTCCTGGTAAGTGTGCTGTGGGGGAGGAGTTGGCCCTTGGGGCTATGGACCCAGAGAAGCTCCTCTGCCTTCCACAAAGCTGAAGAACACTTCAGAAGGCCACATGTCAGCAGGTTTCATGGGAAGAGTTGGCACTGAAAGGTGGAAAATGAAGACAAATGGATTTTTTTAGAAAGTGTTGGTGTCCCTTCACTGCAGAGGAGAAAGGGTTTAACTTAATTCAATCCTGTTTGTTTGTTTGTTTGTTTGTTTGACTCTTTTTGTTATGGTGCCAGGGATCCGACTCAAGGTCTTGGCAATAGCCCGCATCACCTCCTCCTTTTTTTCACTAAGAAATAACAATGAGCCCTTAAAACATGTTCCTGTTCTGTCAGCTCTGGGACCTGTTTGTTTGTTTGTTTTTTGTGGTTTTGTCAGTCTTGCAGCTAGGAGTGCCTCAGGAGACATTGATTGCACCGTTGCGGTGCCCGTGGGTAGCTTAACAGTTGTGTGAGGGGCTTGAGAATGAAGTTAGAGAGCTTGCTCCTAATTGGAGGATTAGATGAGTGCAGTTGGTTGGATCATTGAGGACTGCCTACTTAAACCTTAATATTAAACGTTTTTCGATTTCCATCCAAATAGAAATAAAAATATTCATTATGATGTTTAAATTTTAAAATGTATTTTAGATTACTATTTTTTAATTTTACCTAAACTGTCGCATAAACTGGTCCAAAATTACTGACTTTTGGGTATCTTTGTGTGAAATGGAAGAGACTAAGTCAGACATCTATATAGGAAAGATGAATAAATCTTATTGGTTTTGAAGTGTACCATTTTTACATAAATATTAAAATGGTACCCCTAGCAAAAATATTATATGAGTTTTACTTTTTGTTATAAAGGAACAGTGCTGGTAAGGGAAAGCATGCAGCCGTGTCAGATTTGACATTGTAGAATGGATTTGAAATATGGGTTTTGTCTAAATAAGGATAATAAAATAAAACATTTCTTTTTTTCCTTTTTGGTTTTTCAAGACAGGGTTTCTCTGTGTAGCCCTGCCTGTCCTGGAACTCACTTTGTAGACCAGGCTGGCCTTGAACTCAGAGATCTGCCTGCCTCTGCCTTCCCAATGCTGGGGTTAAAGGAATGCGCCACCACTGCCCAGCTATTGAAACATGTCTTGTCCACTAAGAAGATGTATCTTTCAGGTTACGAGAAGACAGATGATGTCTCAGAGAAGACCTCTCTGGCTGATCAGGAAGAAGTAAGAACCATATTCATCAACCAGCCTCAGCTGACAAAATTCTGCAACAATCACGTCAGGTAGGATGGGCTGGGAGAAGGTATGGGAGGACTGGATGGTAGAACAGGATGGGTGGGAAGAAAATGCCTAGCAAGTATGTAGCTCACATCTTTATTCCCAGCACCCTGGAGGCAGAGGCAGGTGGATCTCTGAGAGTTCATAGCCAGCCTGGTCTACAGAGTAAGTGCTAGGACAGTTATACGGAGAAAGAAACCCTGTTTCAAAGAGATTTGGTGGAGTGAGTTAGCAAGAACTCTCCATTCAGTTAGGATGGTCTGCTGTTCCACTGCCTTCTGTCCAGGAAAGAAATGCTGGCTATGACATGGCTTGTGGTAGAATGCCTTTGTCTAGCATTTATAAAGTTCTGGGTTCAATAACCAGTATATCAAGTGAAAAGAAAAGAAAAGGATAAAATCAAAAGCCCCTGATGTAGGGCGTAGCAGAAGGGACAGCAGCTATACTCCAGGAATTGTGAATAATCAAAGCTGCCCCTGGGCAGTTGTCATCTCTCTAAACCTGTTAATGTTGCAGTGTATTATTTTTGCATGCCAAGTTTTAACAGCTTAGGAATGATTCTTGCAATTCTATACCAAGAATTTTTGGAGGTTTGGTTTGTTTGTTTTAGCTAGAGTCTTAAAGTATAGGTTTGGATAGTTGTAATATAGCACGTGTGATACCATGCACTTTGAGAATGTCTTCCTTACTGTAAACCATAAGGTTTTAATTTCAACAGTCATGAAAAGATTCCACATAAGCAGTAGGTTCTAGGTAGCTTTGGACCACATGAATACCTCAAATACTGGTTTTCTTTCCGGGCAGACATACCATATTTAAGTTGTACCCTTTTGCAAATAATCTTTACAACATTGCAGATTCTCCAGTAGTATTTCTGTTAAAGAATATGACATAGGTCTTTAATCTTCCTTCTATTTTTTAGCAAGAGGAAGGAAGGCCTAGATGTTTCCAAGACCAACGGGTTCGTGTCTTACTGATTCTGGACATTGTGGAGTACCCACCACATTCCTAGCATGGCCATAGAGAGAGCACATAGGTAGTACAGCAGAAAAAGCTGTTTGCCTGGTTTTCTAGGAAGCTGTTTACACTCTCTGGTCCTACTAGAAGGCTCATGTTCTTCTGTTGATATGTTAGTTAGTTCGGTATCTTATCTAAAATTGCCTTTCTTTGCAAGTTGCTCCTAGTACTGTTCAGCATGATAACCGGCCAGAGAAGACAAATGAAAACATGGGTGCTAATTGTGGAGGCGCCAAGCTACATGTTTCTTTTTGTTTTTGTTTTTGTTTTTTTGCTTTCCAGTACTGCAAAATACAACGTGATCACATTCCTGCCGAGATTCCTCTACTCTCAGTTCAGAAGAGCAGCTAATTCATTCTTTCTCTTTATTGCCCTGCTCCAGGTAAAGTTCCATCTCCAAACGTCTGTTCAAAGCTAGTGGGCAGGAAGTGGGAAAGCCTCCACCAATACTCTGAGGCTTATAGAAAGGCAGAGGGATCAGCCAGCTAGAGTGCGTATGCCCTGCTGCTGGCGCTGCCGCATGCCCACAGTATCAGACGTCCTCTACCCTTCAGAGCCTTCGGCTTCATGCCTATTCAAATACTTGGTATGATCTATAAATTTGATGGCAAGAAGTGTTCATTCTAGGCATTGAAATGGGGAGAGACGTTTCCCCCAAAGTGTCCAGCTAGTTTTATTTTAGTGGAAGTATCAATATGGAATAGCTCACTATCAAAATCATTGCTTACAGAAACATTTAAGTTAGTTGTAATGAGTGTATTAAGAAAAGATATGCATTAAAAATAGTAAATGTTAGCTGGGCGGTGGTGGTGCACGCCTTTAATCCCAGCACTCGAGAGGCAGAGGCAGGCGGATCTCTGAATTGGAGACCAGGCTGGTCTACAAGAGCTAGTTCCAGGACAGCCACCAAAGTCACAGAGAAACACTGTCTCAAAAAACTGGAAAAAAATAGTAAATGTTTACTGTTAGCAAAAGGAGTTGAAAACGCAGCAAAGCATAAAGAAAAATGAAACCAGCTATTCCGGCACCAGAGGTAACTGTTGTTAAAATTAGGGTGTGTCCCTCTAGTCTTCCTTCTGGCTCCAAGCATTAGTTTTTGATTTAGATGAACAAAAAGGGACAATGAAATGAACATTGTTTTGTGACCTGATTTATTCATATTAGATGTGTAGAAGACATTTCTGCAGATATTTATTGCATTTCTAAGCCATCATTTGATGGTGATGTGTCTTATGTGCTACTTTGTCTTTTTTTAATCTTATACTGTGTTAACTCTATGGACTGTATATTTCTAATCAATCACATTAACTTGTTGTGCAGATATTTGACCCAGTACTAGCAAAATCAGGGAGGAATGTTTGAGAAGACCCCATGACTTTGTTCTCTTAGGTTTTCTTATAAACGTTCTGATTCTCACTGAAGTTTTCTCGCCTTTTTTCTTATCCAGCAAATACCTGATGTGTCACCAACAGGTCGTTACACAACACTGGTTCCTCTCTTATTTATTTTAGCTGTGGCAGCTATCAAAGAGATAATAGAAGATATTGTAAGTATTTAATTTTTCGTGTATAACCTGGCTCAAATGTGTATTAATTTTATTTTCTTAAGCTACGTAATTTATAGTATAGGCCCTTTAAAATGCCTATTCAACTTAAAAACAAATAGAATTGCATTTCTTTTCCTGAAGTCATTTCTAATAGATTAATGTGGGTGCACGGACCAAGATTCATGGGACTAGGTTCAATATAGGTTACATATAATTTTATTCAGAGAGAAGTCACGTACATAAGAGGCAGACGACAGCCACAGGTTCCTGCTCCAAGGATCCACCCAGGCTGTTCTCCCTCACCAGACAGGAAGCCAGAGAGAGCCACCTGTGTGTGGATCCCAGACCTAAACCCGATCTCCGTCATGCCCGCACCTGTGACCACGCCCGTGCTACAGATGCGGGCGGGGTGGATATCTCACTACAGATTAATATCAAGGAATTCTTGGTACAGTGTTCTCTTAGGTTTATAATTTATTAATAAAAGAAATTAACTTAAATATAGTAATCGGCATGAAGATAAAATTGCATTTGAACAGTTTCTAACTAATTGAAATAATCTCCAAACTAAATATAAAGGAGGTTTTTATTGTACTTTTTATTTTTAAAGTTAAACATTGGGGTTTTTACCTTATTAGATGCCTTGATTTCTTCTCATTGTATTTTAGTATTCTGAATTTCCTCTCCATTTATCTTGTCTTATTGAAAGAAAGTAGCAGTGACTTTGCTATTTTTAAAACTCCTTGGTTGGAAAGAAGAAGTTGGTTTCCCTCGTACAATGAATGCCCCCAAGTAACTTTAGACCTTTTTTCTGTATTCTCTTTTAACTTTCTTATCTGAGGGAGCCAACATTGAGTTTAATATTGTGGGTTTTTGTTGATTCCAGTTGTTTTACAGTACTTCTCTGCACGTCTAAAAATGACCTCTTGAATGACCTCTTGCTGTGTTTTAAAAGAGTCAGATTTGGGTGAAGGAGGCTGAGGAAGTCTTTTTTTATGAATGCACAGTCCGAGATTTCACAAATAGTAATATTACTTCATTAGTATTATTAAAAAGAGAAAAAAATTAGAATCGGAGTGATTGGGCATTGCATTGGTGGCCTCAAGGCTCTAAGTAACAGTAGACACTGAGGCTATATAACTCTGTGTGTGTGTGTGTGTGTGTGTGTGTGTGTGTGTGTGTGTGTGTGTGTGTGTGTGTGTAAGACACCCTGGTCCTCTTGATTGTTGATATCTTGCTTGGGCCCACAAGCAGGAAAACTGAAGGAATTCTTTTTCCTTAGTTTGTTCCCTCTGACTTTTTTTCTTTAAATTATGTCTGGATTTGCCAACCCCTGGGGACTGGGCCTCACTATAATTTCTGCCTCTTTGTACTCTTTTCTTTCTTGGCTTAACCCGCTTTTTTTTGTGGAGCACACATAATTTGTTAGGCTTTGTGTTGTTGGTTTGAAGTTTGCTTGTTATTTTGTTTTTCACTCAAGAACTTCGGGGGTCCTCCATTTACAGCATGGAATCTGGACCTGGAGAGCCGGCTCTGTGTTTGAGGATATGTACTGCTCCCGTAGAGGACCTGGTTCCAAGCACAGTATCAGAAAACTCACAATTACATATGATTTAAGTTTCAGGGGATCTGATATCCTCTTCCAGCCTTTGTGGGCACCTATATTCATTCATTCACACATACTCACACAGGCCTCCTCTCTGACACTCAAATTTAGGGGGTCTGGATCAGTCCCATGCTGGCCTCTCAGCCATCAGTTGGGGGTCCAAGAGCTCCCCCTTGTTCAGGTCAGCTGTCTCTGTTGGTTTCACCAGCCCAGTATTGACCCCTTTGCTCATCACTCCTCTCTCTGCCAATGAGTTCCAGGAGTTCAGTTCAGTGTTTAGCTGTGGGTGTCTGCTTCTGCTTCCATCAGCCACTGGATTAAGGCTCTAGGATGGCATATAGGTAGTCATCAAACTCATTATTAGGGAAGGGAATTTAAGGTAGCCTCTCCACTATTGCTTAGTTTGCCAGTTGGTGTCATCCTTGTAGATCTCTGGAAATCTCACTAGTGCCAGATCTCTCCTCAGACCTATAATGACTCCCTCTATTATGGTATCTCTCATCCTGCTCACCTCTATTCTTCCCCCAACTCAACCTTCCTGCTCCCCCATGTCCTCCTCTCCCCTTCTTTTCTCCCCCCCTCTTTTTCCCAGCTCCCTCTCCCCTCCCCCCATGCTCCCAATCTGCTCAGGAGATCCTGTCCCATTCTCCTTCTCTGGGGTAACATGCATATCTCTCTTAGGATCCTCCCTGTTTCACACTCTCTAGCAGTGGGATTGTAGGCTGGCACTTCCCAGATCTATGTCTAAAATCCATATATGAGTGACTACATACCATGTTTGGTTTTTTTGTGACTAGGTTGCCTCACTCAGGATGGTTTCTTCTAGTACCATCCATTTGCCTGCAAATTTCAAGATTCCATTGTTTTTTTCAGCTGAGTAGTACTCCATTGTGTAAATGTTCCACACTGTCTCTATCCACTCTTCAGTTGAGGAGCATCTAGGTGCTTCCAGGTTCTGGGTATTACAAATAATGCTGCTATGAACATAGTGGAGCAGACGTCCTTATTGTATGAATGGGCATCTTTTGGCTACATTCCTAAGAGTGGAATTGCTGGATTTTGTCGTAGACTGATTTCCATTTTCCTGAGGAATCTCCATACCTGTCTCCAAAGTGGCTGCACAAGTTGGCATTCCCACCAGCAGTGGAGAAGTATTCCCCTTTCTCCACATCCTCTCCAACATAAATTGTCAAGAAGTATTTTGTTGTTGTTTTTTTTGGGGGGGGGACAGGGTTTCTCTATATTGTTTTGGAGGCTGTTCTGGAACTCGCTCTGTAGACCAGGCTGGCCTCGAACTCACAGAGATCTGCCTGCCTCTGCCTCCCAAGTGCTGGGATTAAAGGCGAGCGCCACCAATGCCCGGCAGTATTTTTAATAGAGTAGAATACAATAACTTTATATCATTAGGAAGAAACTAATCAGATGGCTTTTAGGAAATATAACCATCTTGTGAGGTAACCCAGATGCAGAAATATAAATATAATATGTACTCACTCATAAGTAGATATTAGACATAAAGCAAAGGATAATCAGCATACAGACCACATCCTCACAGAACCTAGGTAACAAAGAGGATCCTAAGAGAGACATACATGGATTTGCCTAGGAAGGGGAAAAATCTCTTGAGTAAATTGGGCGCAGGGGGCGAGGGTGAAAGGGAGCGGTAGGAGGGAAGTGGAGTATATAGGTCAATAAAATATTATTAAAAAAAGAAAATATAACCAGGGAATCGTGAGGCAGTAGTGATTTCACTTGATGAAGTTTATTAGCAAAAGTCACTGTTATTTATAGACACAGGCTACAGGAATTAACATGCAGTGTATATTCAATGATACAATTACATCAAGTTTGAAATAATATTCCAGAGGAGAGAACAAAAGAAGTAATAGTTTAAGTAGCTGGACAAAGAGCTATCAGGACATCATATTTTCACAGAGCCTGTAAGGACAACTGAAACATAAAGACACTGCTTCAGTGCCTGTCATCACTTAGTGTATAGATTACAATGTATTTAAACTTTGTCACACTGTTAACCATACTCAGTATGTCAGTGGCCTAATATGTGCCTGTTACCTACTTGCGGAAAGGCATTGTGGTTGCTAAGAGACAGGGAGAGGGTGCCCTTGTTCCATGCAGTCACTTGGGGATGCAAACTGAATGAGGTCTCTGCTGGATAGCATGGTAGGGTTCACTGTAGCAGAGCAGGAAGGAACAAATAGCCATAGCACATCTCAAGTGCTTTGGTCATCCATGGTTCACAACATCTGTTTGCAGGTGTTAGAACTAGTGACGTGATAAAGAGACTCTGTCTTCACATCCTTGGAAGTATGGAACTAGATGTTCGTGAGGACTGATTATGTCTTCCACTTATACCTCAGAACTAAAACGCAGCTTGTGGTCTGTGAAAACGTTTATCCTGTATTAGTATTGTTTTTACATTTTTAGAGTAAAATCAAAGATTTGCCTACATGTGAGGAACTGAAGACTTCCCACTCCTGATGCTTTGCATAGCTTAACAGAATGGATGTTTTGTTTTTGTGTGTGTAAATAAAAATAACATGTATGCACACCAAAATTCTTTAACTGATGGAAATCTTATTTCAAAAATTTAACATAATAAATTCTAATTCTTGTGGCAAAAATCAGAGTTAGAATTGTCTGTGAAGTTGGTATTCCGAACCATGAAAACACCTTTTTATTATTAAACATTAGAATGTTCCATTTATTGTATAATGAGCATTTACTCAAAGTCTGTGGGATGCAGATTCCAAATACCGGGCATGTGCTACTGAGTACAAGAAGTCTGGGTGGAGCTGAACATCCAGTAGAAGAACTAGTGTTTGGTAAATAATTAATCAGCAAAGAGAGTGCTAGATAAAGTGACAGGACTTTAAGTTTCTGATTTGTAAAAACGAGCATGCGTGGGTTCCTGGTTCCATGTCCCGGTTAAGGTGATAGGTTACAGCTTGGAGACAGAGGGAGACAGAGACAGGAGAGCAAGGGGAGGGATAGATGGTGTGGGGGACGGGCTACCGGCAGCCCCAGTGATAGACTTGGTGTGTAAGAGTTAAGCTAAGTGAAAGATGTAGGCTACAAGTCAGAAAGGGCAGGGACTACACTTTGATTATCAGCATCTCTGAAGAAGGGAGTACGTGCACTTGGAAAACAATGTCTGGGGGGAAACGGGTTCCCTAACAAGGAGTCTGTGTCCATCACTTTGTTGGACAAGTTACATAACCTCTCAAAGAGTCAGCCTCCTTTCCTCCAAATGCAATTTAACATGTCACTTTCAGTCTTGTCAGGGAGAATTGAGTTAAAAAAAAAATCAGCATTGAACACTTAACTGTCCTAAAATTCATAACACTGTTCACATTGATACCATTTATTGATGAACTTTCTACCCAAAATGAAAGACAGTAAACATCTCACTATCTCTCAGTGATATTGAATATAAGACAGCAGCATTTGGAAACGCAAATAATGGTTTTTGTGAATTTTAGAGGGAATAATGATATCTTTATTGTGCAAATGGTAAATTCTTTGTATTTGGAAAGTAAGAAGTTGAACACTGACCTAATTTATTAGGTGGGAGAAGACTGAAGACAGAGAGGGTTTGGTGTTAAGATTTTTTTTGTAGGTGGAAACTAATGTCCAATTTTACTTCCATAAAATTTCACTTCTTGTTCGATATGAAATGTTTAATTAATTAGCTTTTATCTCCATCAGTTAAGAGTCTAACCATTATCCCTCATAGATGTATGTGGGGGGAGAGCATAACTATACCCTCTTTTACTATCTAAATTTACCTTGGCCTTAAAAAAAAGTGCTTGGACAAAATTTTTTTGGATTACTTTCAAATTTTCTTTTCATCTTATTAAGAAAGAAACAGCCACAGAAATATATTTGGAACTTTACAATTGTATTTTTCTGTTGCTAATATAAATACAAAAAGACTTTTAATTTTTTATTTTAAATAATCTTCTAGCAAACTATACCTTCTTTTGGAAGCAATAATATTCCCGGGAGATTTCTTCACCATTACACATTCATTGCAAATAGTTTACACTGAGAAAGACTTGCCTTATAGCTATGTGGGAATCATGCCCCACAATTCGTAGCAGACACACCTCAGTACTGTTTGTGTGTCGAGAAGTTCAGTTTCTACTTTGATGACTTGAGTCCACACTGTCTACTCTTACTCTGCTGTCTCAGGTACAGCTGTGGCTCCCACGAGTGCTGACTCCACATGTTTCTCTTGGACAATTTTTTTTTCCTAAGCTTCTTCAACACCATATTTTTCTCAAATGGACAAACATAGGCGCTTGTTATTTGGTCTCAGCTCTCACAGCTGAGTGCAAGCCTTGGTCTACAAAGATCGGATCTTTGAGCAAGGATTAGTTACACTCAACACTTTTCTGCGTTGTTGCCAGAGTCTGGTGTGTCTTTCTCCATGCTGTAAGTTTATACAAAAGCCACAGGAAACCTCCGGTTGAACAGAGGAGATCATGTCCCCTATGGTGGCCATTGGCCATGAGCTTCTCACCTATCTTCTGGCCTTCTGTTTCTCGTTCTTACTCTTCTAAAATCTTGGCTTATGTAACTCTTCAGCCTCCCCCGCCTCAACTTAGAAATCACCCTCACCATTTAATTTTGTGGGTGCCTTGGCGGGGGAAGGAGAATAAGGTCTCTAACTCGGTGGCATCTGCTCGCACGCAGTGGTACCGTGGAGCAGTGAAAACAAGAGGCTGTATTAAATACAAGGGGCGGATGTGTTTGTTTCTAGTTGTCAGCCGACAGCAGCGCATCTTCAAATTATGGAGGATGTACTCAGTTTAATCGGATAATGAGTCTCCCAAAAAGCTGAAACTACTTCAATTCCATTATTAAGTGGACAGATAATTCTCCTGGGCAATCTTCTATGTGAGTTATTTAAGCAATAGACTAACTCAGACTTTTGCTTCACTTTTTTTCCTACTATCATTAAAGTGTTATTCCTCCTGTTTGCTATTTAAGAACTTTGAGTCCCCCGAGCCTGTGCTGCCAGGGAGGAGTACACAGTAGGGTGAAGCTGTGAATGGGCCAGCACCACCCCATCTATGAGTGTAGAAATAGAAAAAGCCCAGAGCATCAGTTAGATGACCTTTGTGGGTTGTGGGTACCGTTTGACTTTACCAAGCTCGTTCGCCTTTTCACTGAGGTTTGTGTTTTGTTTTGTTCTGACTTTAGAAACGACACAAAGCCGATAACGCTGTGAACAAGAAACAGACACAAGGTAGGACCTTTATGTCTTTTTCCTTGGGTTTCCCAACTGCGCTCGCTGCCACAGCCATCCTCAGTTTCCTTACTTAAAGATGATTCAGTTGCACAAACTCTGTTGTATTGAAATACCTTCTGCCCTTGATCAGATTCCTTCCTACTTTATTAGCAATTATTGGCATGGTACTGAAAGTCATATGAGAGTGATATTTTTGAAAAAGTTACATTTTAATATATTTAGGAGCTTCCTAGCTATATACTTCTGAATATATTGTTTAAAAGGCCTACTGTTTTTACTGTGCTGAAAACTATAAAATACCATTACTTTATTTATGAACAGTGTTGGCTGCAGAAAGAAATAATAGAAAGTTATCTGAAATCTTGTTACTGGCTTGAAAACCACCCTGAGTTATTCCATGACTAAAACTAGGACAGCTTCTGAATGTGCGTAGTGTTCTCACTGCCTTTTTTGGTGGAGACCAAACCAAAATTACCTTCAACAAAGGCAAAGAAAACCATGTCTCTCATGTTTTTAAGAAGTTCCTAGAACATGAAGGCAGGCATCTTATGCCATTCCTGAGCTTGCTTTGCAGACAGACTCCTTTCTCCCTGCAGTTCTCTGTTGAAGGGAATCCGGTATCTTCCAGCATCGCCCAGTCATTAAGCACAGCATTTACTGCTGCTCCTGTGGGGACTCCCTATGATGGGGGTTCTCAACCTGAGGGTCACAATCCCTTTGGGGGTTGTATATCAGATATCTTGCATATCAGATACCATTACCATTCATAACAATAAGAAAATTGCAGTTCTGAAGTAACACGGAAGCAATTTTGTGGTTGGGAGGGTCACCACAATATGAGGAACTTGGTTAAAGGGTCGCAGCATTGGAAGGTTGAGAACCACTGCCCTTTGGGAATACACTACCTCCTCATCACTTCCTGCCAAAGGCCTCGTCTGCTGGGTATTTTATGTATTTGGGGAGGGCATATTTATTAGCCTTAAAATACTTAGAGTATCTACTGAAATTTTGTTTTGCCATATAAGAAAATATCAAATGAAAATTTCAGCTTTGAAGAGCTTGCAGACTATTTGTTAAGATAAGTACATGGAATAAAAGAACGTGCATAGTACAATATTAGCGATCTGGGTAGAAGATGAAGGACCGGGCTGTGCAGTCCCAATGACTACTTAGATTTTTTGTGTGTGTGGCAAATAGTGTTTTCCATGTCCGATGCCATAGAAACTCCGAAAGAGAGAAAGACCTGGCATACCTTGAGCTAGGTCTTGAGTTTGGGGAAGACTGTGGATGAATAGAGAGAAGCAGGGGTGACACTTTTCCCCATGGATGGAGTGGGAAAGGGGATGAGAAGACAGCCTGAGAAAGAAGAAAGATGGCTGCTGGCTTGAGCTATTAATAGAGTGTCAGGTGTCCAGAGGAGATTCATATCAGAGGGAAACAAACACATGATGTACGTGATAGGCTAGTCTCATTTTATGAGCCCTTAAATGCCAGGCAAAGGAGAGTCCCGCTTTCCTTGTGTGTTCTCATCTCAGTAGCTATGGCTAAGGTTTAGGAGTCAAAAAAGAAGCAGAGTGGACAGGTAGGATCAGGATGGAGAGCAGGATGGAGGACACAAGATGGGGGGATCTCAGAGCTGCTCCAGGAGTTTCGATGCAACCGGCCAGTGATAAGGGGGCACATCTAGATGTTTGGATGCTAGTATTTCTGACAATGTGAAGCTCTTGAATTTTTGGTCATGTTTAGAATATCTAATGGAAGCTTTTGGGTTACAACCATACAAGCACTTTTCTAGAACATAATTATCACTGGCAGAGAGTTCTAGTTTTCAGTTACCAGCTGCAAGTTTTGAAGGACAGCTCTCATCATGGTATGATTTTCGGTGAGCATACCTTGTGCTGTAGGGATGCTGGTTTCTTACATCTCTACTTCCCAAAATGTTCCCTTTGTAAAGAACATTCTTCTTTGTGGGTTCTTCCTGGGTTTTTCCCCATACTATGCATGGGGTTTCAGGATGATCTCTGCATCTGTAAATGAAAACCAGACACATGTGAGGGAAGGCTTCCTTATTAAGTATAAATAAGAATCACATATAAAACGAAATATAGGACTTGGCTGCAGAAACCAGGTTAGTCAGCAGAATACTTGGAAATCCTGTATCCAAGAAATATGATTGATGCCTGAAGTTGTTTCCTGGAGCGGTTGGTATCTTCCTGCTAACCTCTGCCTGGTTTGAGCACTGGTACTCTTGGTTTGGCAGATGATGGGAGATAACAAAAATGTTTGAACAGGATGCTGTCTGCTGTCAGATAACTCAAATTACTTAATATGAGAGCCATCTGTTGTCATTAGACCAGAGTGAAATTCGATTTGCTTTCCTGAACCAAGGCAGTGGTGGGTGTGTAGGAGGGGGAGGAGGGTATTTATGACAGGTAATTAATTTTGATAGAGATTTAAAGTATTAAGCTTAGATTTTCTAAATGTTTGCCAAGACCACATTAATGCATGAGAGGACGCCTTTTACTCCAATGCCAGAACTCACTCCTGGGTATTCCTACTTAAAGGAATTTCTCACATATTTTGTGTTAAGACATGAGAAAACCTCCCCAACTCTGTCACTCCCAGGCATCCCTAGAGACTTCAAAAAATATATATATATACAAATATATATATGGATACATATATATATATTCATTTATTTGCAACATTTTTAACCACTTAACTATAGATTGGTGCCTGTCTGTCACCTCATTTTTACCAACTAAATTATGGATCTTGGCTCCATCTCAGAACTTTACAACTAGGCTTTACATTTAAGCTTGTCCTCAATATTTTTGAAGAAATGCCACGTTTTGCCTTAGAGATCCATATGTTGGTTAAGCAGATGGCTTAGTGATGTGGCAAATGTAAGTTATATATTATTTTCCAAGAACCTAGTTGCAGAGAATGGGCGGGGCATGCATGATGCTAACAAGTCCAGGTGCACACGAGTCTGTGTGAGCTTTGTGGTCCCCTCTTGCCAACAGTGGTGGCTGCTTTTCTTTACATCTGTGTGCTGCTGTGTGGATGGTTTGTACATAGCATACAGGGATGCTGCTGAGGACAAGCCCATCTCTTGCTTGTCTCTAGATTTACAGTAGCTTCCAGGCCAGGGTCCTGCCTTAGCAGATGTTACACGGGCTTGCCTCTGTGTTTGTGTGCATGTATATGTGTGTGTATCTATGCACACACTTGCTTGGGTGCGTGCACGTGTGCATGTGTCTGTGTGCACATGTGTGTGCCCTTTCTCCAGACGAATACTTGACTATAGATAACAAAGGGAGGACAGAGAGACTGGGAATGCAAGGAGCTTTCTTGAGGTGAGAACAGGATGAAAAGCAATATATATGTACACACACACACACACACACACACACACACACACACACACACACACAGTCTTTGCTCTGGACTGCTTTGTAGGCACGAGTCAAATATTAACATGGTGGGAGCTCTCACACTTCCTTACCTTCACTGGTAGCCATTTCCTCATTACTGTTGCCCTAACTTTACCTCCCATGAACACAGTATCCATTTATCACTTTCATTATTCAGAGTCCAGCAGCACACGGTCATACTTGTCAGCCTGATTTTCCTTGCATCTAAATTTACCACTACTTCCTCTGATTTCCTCTTTCAACCTCAGCTTTCCCTACACACACACACACACACACACACACACACACACACACACACACACACACACACACACGGCATTCTTTCCCTGTCTTCCCTGAACTGTGTTGTGGATGATACACTTGTCATCATTACTGTAATATGTATAGTGAATCCAATCCCCATGTGAATTCGTTGTGGTGATTCTGCTTATTCTCTCTTTAAATTGTAAAGCTGTTCTTCCATTTTCTGTGGAATGCTATGAGACTTTCAAGTAAAATGACAATCTTATGTAATATCATGGCTTGGAGGACTGGGAGAAGATCTTGGGTACTGGCCAAGGTAGTTGGGATAATTTGTAAGTGCCTAATAAATAGAAGTGCTATTTTAAAACCCCAGGTTTGGACATACTCCCTAAAGGATGCTGTACATGTGTCCAGCAAGTGAGCTGCGGGAAACAGAGCCACCTGCTGACCACCTGGCTTGTTTCTTCTGTAGCTCAATGAAAGCCAATGTTACTAGAGTTAGTTTTCCTAATACCTTCTCTTACTATGGCAGTAGGTATATTATGAAAAATATGCCTTCCTTTAATGAACTTTCTCTGCAGTATAACTGTAGAAAAGGCAATATGAAATCCTTGTAACCTACACACTGCCTTTTTAAAGATTTTTATTTTATTTTATTTTATGTGTATGAATGTTTTGCCTATTTGTATGTATGTACGCCATGTGTGTGCCTGGCGCCTCTGGAGGTCAGAAGAGGGCATTTGATTCTGTGAAGTTAGGATGATTGTAGACCACTAACCTAGGTCCTTTGCAAGAGCAGCAAGTGCTCTAAACTAATGAGCCGTCTCTCCAGCTCCTCTAATCTAGGCATACTGTAAACATCACAAACTCACCAATCCCCACCTAGAATTTCCTCCTCAGTGCTACATGGCCTTTTCTGGCTTGGAAGTGAGGTGGTATTGTCAGGGGCACTAGCAAGGCCCCGCGGTGCAGCACGCAGTTGGTAGTTTCTGACCTCCCCCTGGAATCCACTTGACTTTTAAAATCGTCTGTGGAAAAGGCATTGAGGTGCTGTTTGGGTAATTCAACCTGAGGTGACCCACCTGCAGGCCAGAGTCCATCAGCTTCAGCTCACGTCAGAGCTGACAAAGGACTTAAAATAGCACCAATTCACTGGCTATGGAAACGCAGAGCAGTGTCTTCGGTCTCGGGGCAGGCTCCCCACATATGAACCACCCGGTGAGCTTGCACAGGCACTTTGCCACGTGGACATCAACTTCCTGTATACGGTTCTTAGATGGTGTTGTGTCCTGAGGTGAAAGCCATGCCTGTGGATAA